CACAAAATCGCACGACATTTCTTTCTCGAGTGCAGATCTGCTTAATTAGTAATTAGGGATTTACTATTTGTGGTGTAACGTTAATGTACATTATGTTACGCTAAGGATGCTGCGCATAGCACGATCCGGTCTATCAGACGGTCTGGTTCTTTTCGTTGAGTACAATGCGTGCTGGTAATGTTGCTTGATTTTGCAGGTCAGATTAGGATTTTAAAGGGAAAAAATGGTAAATATTCGCATCAAAGATAACCAAAACTCAGCGGAGTCCCCGAGAGCTGAGGTCGGCGAGATTGACACCCGAGCTCCATTCCAATCTGTTAAGGCTGCTGTGAGTCTATTTGGCGAAGTAGCAAGCAAGAAGAAACCGACCATCAGGAGGTCAAAAACTTCTTCAGAGGTAATTAAAGAGAAAACCGTCGACGATTATACCATTTGAAGACTTGAATGATAACCATATGCATGAAATAGAACCATGCATCGTACCCCGTTACCTATACTTTGGGTAAGTAATGCCTCACTTGAACAATGTGATGATGTTATCCATCCATCGAATTGTTTTTCCAGAATGTACTGGACAAGGAGACACAGCTTCTTCTGGCCCAGAAAGAACTAAACCGGATCAAACAGCAGTTGGAAAACGCAGAAAATACGAAAGCACGAGCGCTTTCCGATCTGGGAAAGGCAAACAGAACGGTTCAGGAATTGACCACCAAGCTCAACTCTGCAATTGAGTCCAAACAAGCAGCCATCGAAGCCACCGAGTCCGTGAGGCACAAGGCTAAGCATCTCGAGCGAGTGAAATCCCAAAACCTCGAGCGGACCAGTTCATGGAAAAAGGAATTAGGCACCACGAGGGATGAGTACAGAAGAGCCGCTGCTGAATTGAATACCGCTAAACAAGAGCTCACCAAGATCAGGCAGGACTTCGATGCAACTCTAGAAGCCAAATTGGCCGCTTTCCAACAGGCAGCCGAAGCTCAACGCTCGGCCAAAGTGAACTCGGAGAAAGCTAGTGAATTGTCTAAGGAAATTCAGGCAATGCGCCAATCTCTTGATCACCTAAAGGCGACATCTCTTCAAGCCGAAAAGGAGCAGGCCAAGTTCGTGGAAGAGAAAGATGCTCGCCTAAAAGCTTGCAAGATTGCCAAAGAAGAAGCGGAAGAGACGCTCCTTTCTTTGAAGAAAGAATTCGATCCTGAGCAGACGAGGAATCTTGAGCTAAAGCTCGCGGAAACAACTAAAGAGATCGATGTTCTACAGAATGAGATGAAGAAGGTCCACGCTTCCGATATGGATTCAGTCAAGGTCATCACTAAGGAGCTTAACCATGCCACGAATGCGTTACAAGATGTCGCCAAAGAGGAGAGCTGTTGTAGAGAGCTGGTGACTTCTCTGAGGCAGGAATTGGAGGACATAAAGACGGAGCACATCGGTTTGGAAACACGGGAAGCGGAATTGGAGCGCACCATGAAGACCCTTCAAACCGAATTGGTCGAACAAAAGCAGGAACTCGAAGCGGCTTCTCAGGAAGAGAAGGAAATTGATGCTGCTGACGAACAGACAATATCATTGGCGATTCAAAAGACTATGCAGGAAGCGGAAGAGATGAGGAGAGCGGCCGAAGAGTTCAAACGCGAAGCCGAAGCAAACCGTTTCGGGGAAGAGGAGTCGGAGAGGATGCTAGAGGCAGCACTAAAAGAGGCAGAGGTGGCGAGAACAGCAGAGAAGAGCGCGCTCGATCAGATCAAGATCCTGAGCGCTAAGACAGACATGGTGAGTGCGTCGGACCCTGATTCCAGCGGCTGGATCAGAATGTCGGTGCAGGAGTTTGAGTCCTTGAGCAGGAAGGTCGAGGAGTCAGAAAATTTGGCGGAGATGAAGTTGGCGGCGGCGGCATTTCAGATGGAAGCAGTGAACACCAAGAAAAGCGAGGCAGAGAAGCGGAAGGAGGTGATCCTGAAGGAGATTGAGGAGATTAAGGAGGCCACAGAGTTCGCCCTAAAGCAAGCAGAGATGGCCGAGGCAGCGAAGAAGGCCATAGAGGGTGAGCTTATGAAACGGCGTCAACAAGAACAAGACAACTAATGAAGCTTCTGTTACAGGCTGAAAAAGTTCCCGAGATAGAGAAGGAGAAAAAATGTGCATTCGTCGGTTGAATTTGAGTTAAATGATCATTAAGCTGTCGCGTGAAGGAAGCTATGAACATGTGTCTTGAAAAAACTCATTTTGTGCAAATACAATCGATAATTTTTCATATTCATTAGGTGCAGAAGAGAAACAATTTAAAACAATGAAGACCTTCCTTATTATGCATCCAAATCATCCTCCAAAGTTGGTATTCTCAACATGATGTTTCGGTGCAATACAGCAGGCCTCGAACTTGATCGAATTTGTTTTGCCACGATGTCCTGCAGTTAAAAGTTTCGGTTTTTTTCACAACTGAATACAGAGAAGCAAGCAGAGATGTACATGAACAAGATTCAGCTCTCATCAGTTTTTGCTATAGCAAGTCAAAAACACAAGCGAACTGCTTAAGATAGGCTCCAGCTATCCATGAGATGCTCCAAAAATGGCAAACCCGCGTGGAGAGAAGAAAAGACAAATTACTTGCGTTCCCTAACATACACGTCTAGCAACTCAAATAGGTTTTAGTGCATTGCCATCTGTTCGTGCAATAGCCTCGACGAAATGAGAGTCTAAGTTTGGAGTTAATCAGTGAGTTGCTGACTCTTTCAGGACTCAATGACATGGAGACGACGGCCAACAGCCTGAATAAAAGTGAAATCAGCCAATGAATCTCTCTGCAGAATCAAGTCATATGAATTTGTGAAATGTCTGCACATTGTGACTTCTGCAACAGCTTTTGCCATTGATGTTCTGTAAAATTACTAATCTTATGAGATGCTACACATAAGGAAACTCAAGCCAGATTTCAACTTATATGTTTCAAAGGGGAATTTTCGACCTTAAAATCTTGGCGGCCGAATACCATGCACGACCCATGCCTGATACCAACATAAGATGCATCATAAAACATGTGATGGATGGAGGTGCACTTGAAAGAGCAAACAAGCTTATAACTGTTTGACAATGCCATAAGCTTTTAAGCTTTTTAAATGCAAAACTTATCATGCTGCAACTGTTCAAATTCAGAGTCTCAAATAATACAGATCTTGGAAGATTTTCTTTTTCCCTTTAATCAATTGCAGCTATTTAAAATTTTACAGCTATATTTGAAGCTCTTCCTCTTTAGGAATTGTCAAGCTCTCCCATATGTTCCCTTTCATTTCACTTGCCATATGAAGCTCGTCTTATATAGGAAGCTTCATAGATATTAATAACTGCATATTCCCTTTAATATCAATTCCTAAAGTATAACTATATACAATTAATAAATTAATTGCCTTAGTTATTTCATGCTTCTCGTCTTGGCCACTACTAGGCCATTTATTAATTGGCTTAATAAATTCTTAGTTCACTTTTTTCCCAATAATTTAGGAGTACGAATGTGAGGATCCGGTTACCTAGAGACACATAGAACACTATAAATCTCATGAACCGATTAAGTCGAGACTTTTGAACCCGAGCAATTTGCATACACTTGATGTGGATTCGTATGAGTAACCTCCAGTTTCTGAACTAGATATCCCCCAATACCCTAACCAAATGCACCAACACGAAGGTTTACATTCTTCCTTCCTCTTTCTACGAAAAGGCCCAATCTTCAACTCTTCATAAGTTCATGATCATTTAACCCTAAAGTTGTTTCTTTTGAATCTATTTGCTGCATCATGAGAGATCTTTAGCAGGATCCCAAGTTCATGAATCAAAGACCAATAACGTTTGAATAAGCCAACACACGGCGGCGTGCATCGGAGGGAATTATACAGAAGCACAAGATGCAAAAAGTGAAAGAAAAGCCATTCCCCTTTCAGCTGCAATCCGTTGAAAGGATATCTATGATATGTACATGCACGAAGTGAAGTGTATGGAGCTTATTTGAAAAAGATAGAAAGGAGGAGTGAACTAGAGATGCGACTTGTCAAGCCCACATGACATTATCTTATGCACATTTGACCTTGAAAACGGCCGGGATTCCCTCTACGTATTCGAATATTCCATACGTGTTGCATAAACAAGTATAACACGTATGTGACATGGTTCTTCATCAATTGGGTCATGACAGCTTCAATCTCCAATAATTAAACTTATATTGTATTGCTAGGAAGCTCAGTATGATATAAGTTAGAGAAATCGGCCACGTCTAGAAGGTTTGGTCGGCAAAAGTGGGCGAGATTTGATGTTGATAATCTTCTTTCGTCAACGTTTAATCCAAGGTCTCTTTCAAGTATTCCCCAAAAGCAACGCTAGCTAGGGTTTTTAAGACCAGCTTACTCAAAATCAGGCGCTGCGTCAAGCTTTAATGGTTTCGTTAATCAACACAAAAAGCCACCGTTAACATATAAAATTACCCTAAAGTTATCATCTAACAATCTAAATTTTCAGTCGTCCTTCTTGTGTGTGTGTCACGGTTAGGATCCTAAGATGAGTTTCGCAACTAAATTGAACCCGTGTTTCTTATTTTATGACGGACTGATTAGTCTCGAGAAGGTACTTTGAGTAAGATTCAAAACTGAGACATTATCTATAAAGTGTAAGACGCTCCGATTGCCATGAGTACCAAGCTCTTTCTTTCGACAAAGTTACCAAACCCTAGCTTGACTAACTCACTCCAAAGCACCAATAAATGTGCAAATCTGAGAGAGTTTAAAGGCTTGATGGTAACTACTTAATTATCTTTGGAAGGACTTGATGGCAACGTTATTACTTCCTTGGTAAAAGACACGAGGAGTGACCATCAAACTCGGGAACGTTGTTGTTTGTGGGGTTGCCCGGCCCTTGGAAAAGTCAAAGTACAAGAGAACAACCTCCATCTTTTCCACTTTTCCTCCCTTCACATCACATCACCTCTCTCTCCACAGGATAGACCTTTGAAATATCTCTCTCTCTCTCTCCCTCTATACTTGGTCTTGCCAAACTGTGAAAGTCCTTGAGAAACAAACCATCCCATAAGCAAACACAAATCAAGAAGATTGTCCAAGTTCTCCATCGAAATCTATTCACTTGCTTCTCTATCATCCACCATTTCTTGACGGCCGAAGAAGAAATAGAAAGAACCGGCAAAGCGGAAGAGAATCGGGTCATCGGCGGTGTCTCTCCAATCCTCTCTCCAGAGACGCCGGCGCGATAAAGATGTCGGCACAGGCGGGGGAAGCCGCGCATTTGCAGGATGACAGTCAAGAAGCGATTGAAACAATAGCAATGACTGCAGAAGCTGATCAAGGCCAACCTCATCAGCAGTATGATCAACACGACCAGATGCTGAACTACTACGGAACAGCCGGCGGGACGAGCGAGATCGAGGAGGAGCACTCGAGCGATCTCTTCGAGATCGGCGGCGGCCCGATGGCGGCGGTCAAGGAGGACCGGACGGATGGGATGAGCTTGTTCTCGTTCGACATACACAACTACAGCGAGGGCGCATGGGATGGCGGTGAGTGCGTGTACGTGGCGGTGGGAGCGAAGGGCGAGACGAGCATGGATGCACTGACATGGACGCTGAAGAACGCCGTGGCCGACCGGTCGAACGCGACCGTCTTCCTTGTGCATGTCTTCTCTGAGACCCGCTTCGTTCCGAGCCCCTGTAAGAAACTCTCTCTCTCTCCCTCTCTCTCTCTCTCTCACCCACACGGTGGTGGTTGCGACGGTGGGTGGGTTGCGGCCAAAACGATGGATTGAGAACCTCGGTAGCGTGGAAACGCATCTGGTCCCGACCACCATTATTGTCGTTTTGTGCAGCCGAGACAGAGAGGAGAACCATTTAACTCTTTTTTCCTTTCTCCTTCCTTTTCTTCTTTGGCTGCGCTTGAACTGGTGACTCCAACTCCATTTGTCAAAGTAGTAAATAAGAAACATACAAAAATCGGGCGGACTTTTCTCCGTGTGATTACTAGAACCAATCATAATATATATATATATTAATAGGATCTACATTTCTTGACATATAATAAGCTTGATCGATTTAGTAGAACAAGTCTAGACAATACATTACTTCGTAGAATGAATTGTGTCTTTGATTTATCGCCAACATGATATAGACCGAATAAATCGAAATTTCATTTAGTCGCACATTGTCTATAAGGGGTCATAAACAAAATTTATAAATCCATCATTCATTGGTAATTGCATTGTGGTTAAGGAGTTGTCTAGCCGTCTTGATTCGTTATACCGCTTTGAATATGTATTCGGGAAAATTACTATGAGCATCAAATTAATAGTAGTTTCTGTTGAGATATATGTGTGAGTTGTGTTGGAGAAATCTCACATTAGAGAATTAATGCAGTGTGGAGCAGTTAATATATTATAGTTGGCCGATAGCTCATTGATTTAAGCTTTTGAGTGAACGTGGGTCCAACTGGATATGTTGACAAGCTCGGACTTAGGCTTCCTGTTGACGATCTCCCTAGCTGAAGCTATCAGGCTCTTGTTGTGCGCTCCCGACAAATGGTTTTAGAGCCGTTGGTAGATTGGTCGGCATTGTCGTATAGCAATGTTTGGTAACTATATTAAGGAAGGAATCTAGTGATCAATGCGGTTTTTCAATAGGTGGGCGTTGTCGTATAGCAATGAGGTCCCGATGACAGCCTTCATGGTTCGATTTGGAAAAAAAGACCAGGGATGAAGGTGGATGTTGGAGATTCAAATGAATGATATACCTAAATTAAGGATGAGTAAACTTAACACTGAACTCACACGTTCGGTCCAAAAAAAGAGACTAGGGATGAAGATGGATGTTGGAGATTCAAGTGAATGATATACCTAAATTAAGGGGGAGCAAACCTAACGCTGAGCTCACACGTGAGGAAGGTATTGTTGAGATGCACATGTGAATTGTGTTAAAGAAATCTCAGATCGAAAAATTGATGTGATGTGAAACAGTTAATATATTATACTTGGCCCATTACTCATTGGCTTAAGCTTTTGAGTGAAGATGGGTTGAACTAGACATGTTGACGGGCTCGGACTTAGGCTCCTTCTTAGTGATCTCCTTGGATGAAGGATATCGAATTTTTGCTACATGCCCCTAATAAATGTATCAGAGTTGATGGTAGATTGGTGAGTCCCCTAATTTGTTCCAATGTTCAATGAATATCTCAAGGAAGGAATTAGTAACAAACGTGATTTTCGCGCGATGGGCATTGTGGTGTAGCAACGCGGGCCCGATGGGCATTGATGGAGATTCAAGTTTGAGATATCCTGATAGAGAAGGATACTTGTATTAAGAAAAAGCATACCTAACACTGAGCTCATACATGAGGGAGTTTCAGCTCGATGGGCTTTGATGGAGATTCAAGTTTGAGTTATCCTGATGCAGAAGAATACATGTATTAAGGGGGAGCAGACCTCATGCGTGAGGGGAAAATTGTTGAGATACACATGTGAGTTGTGTTAGAGAAAATCCAACATTAGAGAATTTGTATGGTGTAAAACAGTTAATATATCCTAATTAACTCATAACTCAGCATAACCTGGGCTCCAATATCAGTTGTTGGGTAATCTTCGGCCTCTCACACCCCAAAAGCTAGTTCAAATGGTGAAATTTTCCTTCTCACTTATAAACTGACCGATAGTCTCTTCCATAGTTGACGTGGGATAACCTTAAGAAGGAGCAGACTTAACGCTGAGCTTATACATGAGGGGGTTCTGGCTCGATGGGCATTAATTGAGATTCAAGTTTGAGTTATCCTCATGCAAAAGAATACATGTATTAAGAGGGAGTAGATCTCACACGTGAATGAGAGATTGTTATGATGCACGTGTGAATTGTGTTAGAGAAAATCCCACATTAAAGAATTGGTGTTGTGTAAAATAATTAATATATCATAATTGACCCATAACTTAGCATGACCAGGGCTCCGATATCAATTGTTGGGTGGTCTTGGACCTCTCTTACCCTCAAAAACTAGTTCAAAGGGTGAGATTTCTCCTCTTACTTATAAACTGACCAATAATCCCTCCCCCCAACAGTTTCTAGTAAATCCACAATGGTCAAACGAAAAGTATAACAACAGGACAATGTAGGATATTTGGGGAAAACAATTCGGAGATTAGAAAATAGAAGAATTCATGAATCGTTAATAGCTCAAATTGTTAGAAGACTGATAAACGATCAAATGCTCCTTTATGCTTCTAATAAATCAAATCATGTAGCAAATTTTTGCTGTCATCGGCGATTCGATGATAATCAATGGGCTGATATTGTTATCAGTAGGAAATCTACCCATATCTGGGGTGAGCGAACAGCAAGCGGAGACATTCAAGGCACAAGAAAGAGGCAAAAGGAGCCAACTACTCCAGAAGTACCTGAACACATGCATTTCCTCAAAGGTACAGTAGGGCAACTTCATATGTAAAAATACCTGGTTAGATCTTTTTTCTTAAGCCTGTTGTGATTACATTAAGGAAAAGCTAATGAAACAGGTTAAGGTGGACACTATACTCATTGAGAGTGACATGGTTGCGAAGGCCATCCTAGAGCTCATTCCTGTCCTCAACATAACCAAGTTAGTGGTCGGCACTGCCAAATCCAATTTGAGGTATGCTTTTCTTTTTGTTTGATCAATTTACAGCTTCAGCTACAAAGTTCTGAATTTGGAAATGGCTCTGCTTTTGGGTGTTAGGAGGTTGAAATCTAAGAAGGGAAATGGGATTGCTGATCAGATACTTCAGAAAGCACCTGAGACATGTGAGGTCAAAATCATATGTGAAGGAAAGGAGGCGATACTAGAGCAGATGGTGACGGAGTCGCCGTCGACACCTTCGCACAGCAAGCCAACCTCGCCTTCGCAAGGGAATCCCGACAAGCCCAACCCGATGCAGGAAGAGAATCAGTGCGCGGACTATTTCTCATGCATGTGTTTCAAACCTAAGGCCGCTTGACAAGATATGGGGATTCGTCCATACTTTCCATTTCCTCCTTTCTTTTCTTCTGTCCTTGGAAATCGACTTCAGCTGCGAAGGGTCTGTGAAGCAAGCACAATCAGCACGTACATTGATTTCCCGCCGCGTGATTTAGTAAAAGCCCGCCTACACTGATTAACGAATCCCGTGTTCATTTATAATACACACACGAGATGAAGCCCACCTAATTGTAAAATCGCGCTCATGCTTGTCTAAACCATTTTCTCCCTATGTGCGCAGTCATATGATGCTGCGAGTAACCTGTATATCACGGTTCATCTTCAAAACTTTCTGCACATGCACCAAATCTTTTGTAGTTATTACTTCAAGTGGAATTGATTGACACTATTGTGTCTTCTGAGCCTTAATCTGAGAGCAGAAATCCATGCAATAACAAATACAGATGAGTAGAGATTGTTAACTTGCACATACACTTCCCTCGTCAATATATCAACCGAGGAACTTCGTCACACTCATCGCTACGCGATCCCAGGAGCACAAAGAACAGATTTCCCTACTCGCTAAAATTTGAAACTGATATCAACAGTCACTAAAAGAAATCAAACTCCAGATAATTATCAGAACCTATCTGGTTGGGAGCGGCCATTGCAGCAGCGGCCTTTTCGATGGTTGCAGATGCAGGTATGCGCTCGATCTCGACCGGTTTAGGGATCTCTGGAGGAGTCGCACACCGGATTAATGCCCAGTTCACCCCATCGAAGAACGGGTGCTGTTTGATCTCCGTAGCCCCTCGTTTATATGCCAACCTGTTCTGTGGTTCTTTCACAAGCAGCCCCCGTATTAAATCTCTAGCAGCAAAGCTGACGACAGGCGATTCGGGGAACCGTAGAGGCTGGCCCACGACATTGAACAGCGTGGCCCGGTTTCCAGATCCCTTGAAAGGCGTTCTCCCAAACAACAATTCGTACAAGAAGATTCCAAAAGTCCACCAATCAACAGCGCTTCCATGACCTTCTCCCTTGATAATCTCGGGTGCGAGATATTCGTGGGTCCCCACAAACGACATAGACCGAGCCTCTGTTGGCTCAGCAATGAGCTCAGGCAAGGGTCTCACTTGGTTTCCCATGTCATTGTTCTTAGATTTCCTTTCCTTCTTAGACCTGCTAGAAAAGAGGCGGGGCGAAAAGCATGTTGTCGGGAGTACACAGGAAGGCTGGATGCAGGAAGGTTCGATGCAAGCTGGCTGAACGCAGTAAACGGAGTTCTTCTTGAGGGACTCGGCATCTATGAATGAGCCTTTTACGAGTGTCGGACTCACGGTGCAGCGGAGGGACAGGTCAAAATCAGAAAGCATTATATGTCCATCCTCCCTTACTAGAACATTTTCAGGTTTGAGATCGCGGTAAATGATCCCGAGCATGTGCAGGTACTCCAGAGCCAACAGGACCTCCGCCACATAAAATCTGCAGGTTAGAATTCTAAGGTCAATTCAACAAAGCATTGAGTTTGTAAGTCCCTGTAATCATAATCTTTCAGCCTAAGCAGAAAAGAGGAAGGAAAGACATAATAGCAGAGACACAGGAATAGCAAGTATCCATGTCTCTATTCAAATTTGCCGTCTAATGTGAATAGTTATAAATCAGTAGATCGTGTTCCTTTGCAAAGCTTGTGCTGACTAGAGTTACTATCACACCCAATGTTCTGGAAAGGAAACCAACTCGTTTCAGAGTGCGGACTATTATTAAGCAGGTGCTCAATACAATTCCCTTTCTAATGATTGTTTGACTCTTGACGGGATCGTGCAAAGATTTTGGCATCAGAAAAGAAAAAAAGGAAGAAAAGGATTTAAGAGTGCATGCCAATTTTATGGATTGGATGAAACAAAAACCTGCTCAGCTAAAAATAGAGGAGCAATCCCCTGAGCGATAAAAAGCATGTAAATTAAACAAAGACAATTGTTACTAATTCCTCCACCCGTAAGTACTGAACTATGAGACTACAGGTTAAAAAAAAGGTGGTTTTTCTATCTTTTACAAATTAAAAGTTCGCAAAAAGAGTGCATGAGAAGAATACATCTTGCTCCAACCTTGATCAAATATACAAGCCTATCTCAACAGCTTAACACCTTAACTTTGTCCATGAAAACAAAAGCACATAGTAGTTTAATCCATATGAGTCAAGACTAATGATATGTTTACAGGCATGTAAATTAACAACAGCTCTCATAGTCTTATTTGTCCATGTGAGTATTTCAAGGACGATTTCTCCTTCCAAACAGCTGATAGTGAGTTAGGAAAGAGAGAATGCATGCATAATTAGCTCAAATGACAGTGAAGGCAGCGATAGAATGGCAGAAGAGTTCCTATCCTTATACACATTCAGAAATTGAGGATAATATGCACACATCAACCTGGTAACTCTTTCTTGATGCTTTTTGAACACATATGATCCAAGGAGGTGCACAGATGATGAATAAAAACCAACAACACACCTCCGGAAAATAGTAACTCTACTTTCCTAATCCCTCAAAAAAAGTAAAGCATCAAATATTGTAACCACCGGAACCAGATTTCTTTGCAGTTCTAGCAAATTTTCATGCAGAATGACAAGAAATTCAGAACCATGATGTTTAATTTAACACGACACGCCAACTTTCTCTTGTCATAAAAAGTAAAGTTTGCACAACATGCACCAAAACGATGTCATATGTCGAATCTTAAGCATGTGCCAAAATTGTAAAAGAATGATCTTTCTAGTTCAGCAATTCTGCATGTTATGAGTGTTCATTTGATAAGTACACTATGCTAACAAAAAATTTGACAAACTCCAGCAGCATAAGAAAAGCATAAATTCGAAAAGGCCAGAGATGTGACTAAAATATGATCAATGAGGGGATATGAAAATCAGTAAGAACATGCGTAAATGAAAACTACACATATGACATCGAAGTTCAGTGATCATACTTTACAGCCTGCTCAGTGAAATGTTTTCCCGGTTGTCTCTGTCTAAGTGAATGCAAGTCTCCTCCAGGGCAGAACTCCATCACCAAACAAGAGAATTTATCCGTCTCAAAATGCGTGTAAAGTGTTGGAAGGAAGGGATGGTCCAGAGATTGCAGAATCTCTCTCTCTGTCTGAGCCCGGAGCAGCTTCTTTCGACTCGCTAAAGAAGCCTTGTCCATAACCTTCATTGCAAAGTAACATTTTGTTCCACTAAGCTCTGATAAGTATACACTTCCAATATCCCCACAACCCAAGCGTTTCAGCAGCCTGAAATGGCTCAAACCCAAGACACCATCTTTTGCCCTAACCGCTTGGATGGCTTCCCATCTCAAGTCATTTGCTTTATGTGGCTTGCTAATACTGCTACTAAAACTACTGCAACTGCTCTCATCACTCACATCACTACTCGTGCTCCCTCTACACATACTACTCTTCCCACTCTCAACAAAATCAATGCGATCACTAATTTTAGCACTTCCGCTGGTTTTGGCAATACTTCCAGTACCGTCACTAACCTTTCCAGACACTGAACTGCTTTTGACGCTTTCATATGCTGATGTCTTCTTTTCCTGATCAACAGAACCTTCAATGGAGCTTCTACTTTCAACAACAGAAGAATCCAGCTCTGATGATTTTCCTGAAATGGGTGAAGAAGAAGTAGAAACTGGATAGGTCTTGTTGACTAGAGAATCAAGAGAGCCCCCATGAGCAAGATTGGGTGATTTTCTATTGGCAGTTGATTCAACTGAAACTTGCTTCGAGTTGTTCTGGGGAAATTTCGAACGCTGTTCAGGATTAGCAAGCTGGGTTTTGCTTTCCTTAGAAATTTGCAAAGGCAAAGGACTCTGATCACTTTTCTCTCCTTTGAGAGCACCAGCTGTTTTCTGTTGCGGTTCAGAGGATGCTCTAGAGGCAGCTATTGAGGCCATGATACTAACAAAAAAGTTCGTAAAAGATCAGCTAGAAGCTTTCCACAGTTCAGAACCCATTCTCAAAAGCAGCATATCTTTCATAAGCAGACCCAGATAATTTCTCGTCCAACTCTGGCAATCCCAAGGACTACTCCATCCACAATAGAGTCTTGGGTAACCTACATGCCAATCAGTTTTGGTGCATTCAGATTTCAAAGCCTCGTCATCAAACAATACCACCTACAGACGTATGGAGAATACATGATTCTCGATGACAATGAAACTTTTTAACTCAAACAGCAAGCAATCGATATATCAAAGAAACAAACAATCTTTGTACTAAGACTAGCCATCCTTAACATGATGAGTGCTACATACCATGCCTATACCAATAGAGAGCAGCAAGCAATCTAGTTGCAGAATATAACTCAGAACAATGAGGAAAGATACTTCTTGAGCACTGACAAACAACTTCGGCTAACGAGCCAAAATGAAAAGTTTTAGCAACCAGAAAGAGCTTACAACAAAGATCAATTTGCCCTCCAAAATCATACCTCGTAAGCAAGGGCGAGTTATTCGCAGAGTTACATGCAGAGTCGGATTAGAAGCTATAGAGAGTTTTTGAAACTAACTTGTGACTATTTGGTATACTTCCAGACACAAAAGGGGAGGGAGGGGGGATCCAAGGAAATAGAAAACGTACGAAAGGCTTCAAGGCCCACAACAAAGTAAAGTATCAGCAAACAGTCAGCTGCTTCCTGAAGATGCTCCACTTCAGATGCTATTAAATCAACCCCAAATGAATTGAAGCCAACAAAAATTTACCAACAGAAAACACAATTAAAGATCAATAATCCCAACACAATTAAGAAAAAGGCAAGATTTGAACAACACAGATCTCTCTCGATCGCAAGCATAAAGCTTTATCCGAAACCCAAGCTCAGATCCAAAGCCTGATAGAGACCCAGATGCCAAAAGCTGGACTTGGCATCAAAGAGAAGCCAACCCAATAAAGCCACGACCAAGAGAACCAAAGGGCAAGAACAAGAGAAGGCAATGGAAAAGAAAAAAAGGAAGTACCCAAATTCTTCCAAAGATCAGAAACTTCAGGTGCTTATGCCTTGCTCTGGCAGTGAAAAGGAAGAGAAGCTAACATCTTGCTTCGAGAGAAGAGAGAGATGAAGCTCGACACTGAATTAAAAGTAGAAGAATGGCCTCCGCTTCTGGTGGACTATCAAGCACAGTGAGATAGAGAGAGAGAGAGAGAGA